CCCCTTTCCACAGCCTCTTCTGCTTTTCTCTTTTTTCTCCTTCTTATCCCCCTATAGAGTGTTATAGCGGGTTCTGTGCCCTTTCTGTCCGTGCTTGCCACTCTCTCTCCCGCACCAGGACTGCACGTGTGCTCTCTCCTGTCCCTGTCTGTTTCTATCTCTCCTATCTCTGTCTCTATATATCTCTTCTCTCCTCTGGCTGCACACGCTCCCACTCGGTGCACACGCTCTGCTGCCCGTGTTCTCTCTTTCTGCGCTCTCCTGGGCCGCCCTGCTGCTTTTGTTTTTTTCGGCCTCTCTTTTCTCCTCTTTTCCCTGTGCACACACCCTCCATAAAAGAGCACCAGTCACACGGCCTGTCTCTTTTTGTCTTTCTCCTTCTCTGCCCTCTGCCTCTGGCACACACTCTTATCTGCTCTAGTACTTGTGCTCTCTCTCCCCTGTCTCTGCTGTCTCCTGTCTGTGCAGTTATAAAATGTCCTGCTATTTTGTTTTCTTCTGTTTTCTTGCACTTTCCCCCTATAATATGTCTGGATTTTCCTGCTTTTTGCAGACAGACTGGAGTGGCTGGGGAGTGTTGTGCTTGGGCGTGTGTGAGTGCAGGGCAGGGTGGCAGTGTGTTTGCACGCCTGCAGACTGTGCTGTATCTGTCTTTGTGCTCTCTTTGTGTGCCTAATACGGGTCAATGTGCTAATAGTATAGTTGAAGTATTTTATTTTTATTTTACTCTGTATACATACTAAAGAGCTTGGACACTCTTATGTCTTATTTAGAGGAGTGTAGTGATCACGCACACGGCTTGCATAGGGCCGTGCATACTCGCTTTGTTGGTAAGACACCTGGGTCTTTGGCTTGAATTTGCTAAAGCCAGTGCATATCCTGTGCATACAGCCTATTTGGAACCTAATTTGCTCACGCACACTATTCGACAGAGAATAATTTACATACTCATACATTTTATCGATTATACTAAACATCTTCTCCTTCTCGCACAAATAGAATTTCCTTAGATCATCAAAGTCTCTTTCAACCTCGTCTATTATTTCAAAGCTTTCATGGAGGGCCTGGTCCAGCTGCCCGGATATATTAACTGAGCCCTGCTCGCTGTAGTGCTCTTTCTCAAGCCACTTCGCCTCGCACAGCACGAACACTCGGCTAAACCTGGCATGTAGGCACGCCAGCTCTGCTTTTAGCTCAGTGTATCGCTTAGACTGGAACATAAGCCCGTGCACCAAATAATTTATAAAGTGCCCCGTTGAGAGTAATATTTTATTTCCTTCCTCGCACATAATAACCCTCTGCTTATTCCTTTCAGTGTGCGCACTCTCTATTTCTTCTAGGAGTTTTTCCTCCTCTATGCGCATAGTTTCAATCTTCCTTATCTTTCTATCGTATTCTGAATTGATGCCCTCACGCAGCCTTGTGTGCTTCTTGGTTGAGTTCCCCTGTTCGCAGCCTTGCACTTCAAATAGCGTGTCTATTTGGGCCAGCTTTGCAAGAAACTTGTCTATTTGATAGTCCATCACCTTGGCCACGTTAAATACTTCAGTGTACACGCTGGCAAATGCACATCTAGCCTTGCCTGTAGTGTCGACTCGGGTTACTAGTGTATTTATTTTTTCTTGGTGTTTATCAAGTGCACACGGGTATTTCGGTCCGGCCCACTGTTTTTCTGCTTTCTTTGCTGTAGTTGCTTCTGCACTTTCTGTCCCAGTGTTTGCCTTCATTGCGGTGGGTATGACTGGGTTTTCTTGGTTGCCTTTTCTCTGCAGGCATGCTACGAGTTTATATACTGCTATCATGCATATAATGGATAGCACTATTCCCCTGATATTCAGGTGCTGCCAAAATGCCATATTCTCTGTAAGCTCTATACTCATTCTTTTTATTTTATTTTTGTGCTTGTGTATATCTAAAGATCATTTTTATTTTTATATTAATGTTAATACTCTGTTACTTCTCTATATACTTGTATAAAGCATATTAGTACTTAACAATTCAGGTCAAGATCACTACTACAGGATATAGACAGAAGAGTGTGCAGAGTGTGTTATACTGAGGGTACTCTGCTGTATACCTCTTGTATTTGCGCATATCCACTCTCTTTCCAATCTACTGCATGCATACTTGGATAGTTGTGACTTTTCTGTCTTGGATGGCTCTATTTCTGAGTCAGCCATCATACAACAGACCATCTGAGTCACAGACAGACACATTCTCTATGGTCTAACTGCACTTTCTGGCTAGTATATCTGCTATACACTGTACTATGTCTCTATATTCACTTAATAGGCCTTCTACTGGTCCTAGCAGTGTATATGCCTATTAATACATCCATACTCTCTATTTATCTGTCTATTCTTTTATTTATGTACATCTGTCTACTCTGTCCTTTTCTTCTCTTTCAGTGTGCTTCTTGTATTTTATTCTCTTATAAATTGGAAAATAAAGTATACATATAGCCCTTTGAAGCAATTTATTTTACTAGAGTATAAAAAGAGAAATAAAGCATCAGAGGCAGGAAAAAGAAGAAAACTAGCACATTCCAGAGAACCACTACTGGTCAGACACAAAGAGAGAAACGAGAAGAAAACAGAGAGAGCAACATACTACAGATAAGTAGAGAATGAAACAAGTATTTATTGGCAGCTAGAGATACACACTCTTCTACTCGCAGTGTACTGTGAATGTACTATGTACTATACAAATACATAAAGACACTCTATTCGGGTGCACTATTGGTTTTCCTTGCCTTGAGGGCATAAAACCCTTTATCTGGGCTAGCAATGTAGATTAGTGTTGGACATTGCCTTTCGAGGTTTGGCTAAAGGCCAACACGCTACAAAATATTCTACTTGTTTACGCGCTAGCTAGACTGGCTCAGACTCTAGGACCCTTTATTCGTTGATAAGAGAATATTCAATTGTCTATATAAAATATAGCTATTGGAAGAGGTCTATAAATAGAGAACAAGAAATATTTTTTTAATTTGCATTGTCAAGTCTAACACTTTGAGAGGAAAAATCAGGTCCTGCTTTCTTAAAAGAGACTATTGTTAAAATTTAGCATTTATTCAAAAACTCAAGTCTTTAAATAGCTTGGGTTTAATTTAATCTTGAGATTTATCAAAACAAGCAAACTAATTAATTGATGATATGGGGTGCCAACAAACACCAATGGTGGTGTTGCTAATGCCATGCATGTCTTTAGGTGCTACGTAGAGCATACAACAATTAGAACTTCAGGCTATACCAGCTGTTTTATTTTGTCTATATA